GTTTATCCATGTTAGTGCCAGCTTGAGTTTGGAGTAGTCTCACTTTAAGCCTAAACACCTTCTCTAACTGTCTCCCACCTACACAGCCATGACTTGCCACTAGGGTGCTGGAGGGCAAGAGCTGACTAGGAGTTACAGCTGTGAGTTGCCATTATAAGGCGGGTGAGCCAGGACAGGCATTGATCCTGTCCTTTAGTTGGGGGTGTATGAGAGATGGGTTGTGGGCAGGGGGCGGGGGAGCAGGAACATGAAGCTGGGAGGTAGAGAGTTAATGGGATGGGAGTAGGTAGTAAAATGAGAGGTAGAAAGGAAATGGGGGTGGGGGAACGGTGGTAAAATGAACTAAGTCAGCCATTGAAGGATAAAATACAAAGAATTAAAAATAAAAGAAAGAATTTAAAAAGAAATAAAGAAGAAATAAATTAAAGGAGGTCTCATGTTTTAATCAATTGAGTTTTGGGATTGGGGTGTGGGAGATAGTTGTTATGATTCCCAGGGTAGTTGGGAGGTAGGAGAAATGAGGGATATGGCAATTTTGGGAAGCTACTATCCCCTGCCCTGGGAAGGAGGCGCCAGCTCATGGGGACCCAATCCAGCCCCCTATCTTGTGTCCCATCCACTCTCCCTAGATCCCACGCCTAGATCCACCCATGCCTTTCAGCCTGGCTAGCTGGCATGAGTTCTGCAGGGTGTTTGCATGCAGTTAGACCTGTGGGTGTCAGAAGGCCACAGCATCAGAGGCAAGAGGTGATGTCAGAGTCAGGGGGGTGGAAAGTTTGTGAACATAGAACAGAAGGGTGGGAGAGGGGACACTGCACCCTGGGTTTCTGAAAGACTGTAATTTGGGCATCTCATCTGTGGAGAGTGGTCACACATTAATGGAACATGAGCTGAGTAACATGAATTAGAGATAAATCTGCCCTGGAGTAGCACAACTTTAAGCCATCTAAAGTGGATTTAAAACTAGTTTCAGGTATTAATATGTGGATAATCTAGGAGTTAAGAGCTCCAGGAGCCACTTAAAATTAATGTCTAAGAAGACCCTCACAGTCACATGTTGCATTCTATGGTTTACTTCTTGGTATTTAAGAAGCATGCAGTTTGGAATACTTCTAAAACTTACCTTAAATCAACCCTTGTAAGTGGAAATAAGTATTTCAGAATTTCTGGTTATAGACATCAGTGAGGTAAAATTACATTGAAGTTGAAGTCACATTCTTTTTTGTGAAGTTGAAGCCACATTATTTTGAAGTCACAAGTTGAAGTCACATTATTTTGTCCATTGGAAATTTGTTAAAACCAGAATTTTCATAAATTAGAGAAGAAGTTTTTAGGTTTATCAGTTGGCTTATTGCACTGCAGAACTTTTGCCTATTGGCAATGGTAATCTCATCAAGGTCAAGAAAAACAAATTTAAGAGATTTGTGTTTTTGTAGACATTAGCTTCTGAAGAACAAGTTGCACAAGAAGTTAAGACTGACCTTTCAAAGGATGGAGAATGAATGTTTTCTTCATTTTGCTTTGTTTTGATTGGAGAATTAGGAAAACAAACGTTATTTTTGTTAAGTCTATCTATAATATTTTACATGTATTCAGTTTTATTTATTATGACAAATGAATGTAGGCCACTGGCAATAGAATTTTAATCATCTGGGTGTTTTCTACTGGCAAGAGAATTACATTGGCAGTATTTGTAGCATATTGTGGACAACTTACATAATATTTGCATGATGATTGGCCCTTCAGGGTTTTTAAAAATAAGTTATTCACAAACCCAAACAAATGGTATAATTTATTTTGGACACAAATTGATTTTGGTGTTCTATAATTAGCAAGTATAGTTTTAGCATCATCTGTAGTGATTTTGAAATCTACAAAACATATTGCAAAAAGATAAAAATTACATCCACTGGAAGTTCAGTAGAATCATAATTCCATCTCTTAATGGATTAACGTGTTTCAGTTTGCTTTTCCTACATCTCCTCTTTGTGTTTCATGTCATATCATGTTTTTCTTTCTGCTCAGTTTTGCCATGTGCTGTTTTGTTATCGGTTGGTTCCAAGCCAAACCATGAGACCTCCATTTGTTTGGGGTGCAGAACAATGATAATAAAAAGGGCATTTCAAGATTCCTGTTTAACAGACTTCCCTCTCTGCAAAATAGGCCATATCCTTTTCTCCTTTTTGCTTTTACAATCCAAAAAAAATAATAGTTATCAGAGTTATAATTAACGTTTAGTTAATCTGATTTTACTATTCAAACAGAGGGGGAGTAAACATAAACCAAATTGATTTTAGGCCATATTTTGAATGTTTGCCATCTGGCCTTATGTCACTTAGAATGGCAAAGTTACAAATAAAATTTTATACTTGCAATATATAATGGCTGTAATCACTGTTTAAAATGTGCAGTATTATTTCAATTGGGTCTAATGCTCATGTTAAATGCTATAATGGATTTAATCCAGTCATCTTTTTCTGTCACACAGATTCATAGATTGTAGAGTGGGAAAGGACCCCGAAGGATCATCGTGTCCGACCCCTTGCCCCAGGCAGGAGAAGGACTGAGGTCAGATGCCCCCAGCCAGGTGCCTATCTAGCCTCCTCTTGAAGACCTCCAAGTTAGGTGATAGTACCACCTCTCTTGGCAGCCTGTTCCAGATTCTGGGCACCCTTACTGTGAAAAATTTCTTCCTAATGTCTAACCTGAATCTACACTCCGCTACTATGTACCCATTATTCCTAGTTACTTCTAGGGGTGCCCTGGTAAATAGCTCATCTCCAACTCTCTGTTGTCCTCCCTTGATAAACTTATAAGCTGCTACAAGGTCTCCCCTCAGATGTCTCTTGTGAAGGCTGAAAAGATCCAGATCCCTCAACCTCCCCTCGTAGGCTCATGCACGAAGGCCACTAATCATATGAGTGGCCCTCCTCTGGACCCTCTCCAGATTCTCCGCATCCCTCTTGAAGTGCAGTGCCCAGAACTGGACACAGTACTCCAACTGTGGCCTGACCTATGCTGCATAGAGGGGGAGCATCACCTCCCTCAATCTGTTGGTCATGCATATGCTAATGCATGATAAGGTGCGATTGGCTTTGTTGATAGCTTCATTACACTGCTGGCTCATGTTCATCTTGGAGTCAACTATAGGTGTGCTGGGGATTCCTCCTCCCTAGATAGAGTACCTTGCATTTGTCGTTGTTGAATTGCATCTTGTTTCATTCTGCCCATTGCTCCAACCTGTCCAGATCACCCTGTATGCACTCCCTGCCCTCCCTGCCCTCCCTGCCCTGTTAACCTTGCCCCATAACTTGGTGTCATCTGCAAACTTGGACAGGGTGCTCTCCACACCCTTGTCCATGTTGTCCTGTGGGGTCAGACCAACTCTCAGGATCTCAATATTGTGCTGTTAGACAGGAGGGTGTGACACAATTGCACATATACAAACACACAAATCAATTAGGTGCATACACACACACACACTACCAACTCAGGCACATACACATCCAACCCAGCCTAGGCACATGCATAACTATCACCAATTCAAGCACATACACACTACACACATGAAAAATTAGACAGCAGTCAGTTGTCAATACCTACACACTCCGTACACATACACAGATCACTGATTTGTATATCACGCACTAATTTGTATATCATGCATATTCACCAGTTCACACACATACCATCCACCTACACATACACACAGGTGAGTTCCTAACTTGGATGGTACGGTATGTATGTGTGTGTTTGGGGTACTTGGAATACCTGGGGGAAGGTTAAGGTGACAGAGAAAGTATAAGGAGTGAAAGTTGCTGGAACCGGTATTAAAACTGGTAGACTAGAGAGAAGCTGGGCTGAGGAGCTGAGGCTTGGGGTTACTTAAGGTCAAGTGGCCCCAGAGTTACTTGAGGTCAGTGGTACAAGGGAAAAAGCCCAGCGCCAAGGAGGAGACAGCCAGGAAAGAGAGAGAGGCAGAAACCTGGGAGCTTGGGGCTGGAAATTGAGGCTGAAAGCTGGGAGCTTGGGGCTGGAAACCGAGGCAGACAGCTTGGAGCTTGTGGGGGTAGATAAGTGATGGCAAAGAAGAAACAGTTAGGAAACCAACAAAAACCCAACTCAGGATTTCAAAATAACAGGTTTATTAAACAGACACACTACACAGCCCCATGAAATTATTGGTACACACACACACACACACACACACACACACACACACACACACACACACACTGGCAGCAGGAGAAAGAGACTCATTGGAAAGGTTGGAGTCCAGGTAGGGAAGAGAAACAGTCCAAGTCCTTGGTTGAAGAGAGGGTTGGGGTGATAGCTACCTATCCAGGCTGGAAAGGGGTCTTTGTCCAGCAGGTGTTGTCCAGAGGGGGGTCACTGTCAGGGCCTCTGGGTGGATATGTGGTGTGGCATGATGCTAGTCCAGATGGAGAGGGCATCCCAAGGAGTCGGTCTTCACAACCCCTTTTATGGGGCAGACTACCTCTGATCTCCTATGGGGAGGGCATGTCCAGGCAATGTCTGTAGTGTTCTAGAGGGTTCCAGGTGTCCTTACTGAGCATATGCATTCTTGGCACAATGGTGGGTTGCCTCATCTTTTGTTTCTTGAATGCTGAGGGTGGTTCCAATGGCTGGGTCATTGGTCCAGGTATTGGTTTTGATGTTTCGGTCATTCAAAAAGAGCTATTTTTAGAGCTACTGCCATTGTCTCTCAAGCACCCTCATTCATCCCCATTCATTCAGAAACCAAGTTATATAGGAGGGGTAGGTATGAGTCATAGGTTACAACATATTTACACAACAGGGCATGGGGACAAGATGGAGACTTGACAAACAAAATGGAAACTTGACATGACTTATGCTAACTTACATATGTAGGCCTAAATCATATAGTACCAGTAAAACAGTAATATAGAACAGTAACAATCAATATAAACATAATAATTATACAATGTAAAGAAGGAGAAAAAACAAAACAAATACAACTTGCTACCAAAATAAAATGCTGATGCTTATCCTATGTCTTAGCTCACTTATCTATAGGGAATAGAGAGGGAGAGAAAAAGTCAGAAATGGTTGGGGAAGGGGAGGGAATGCATTTTAAAATTAAAAAAAAAAAGAAAAACTGGGGGTTTTGCTACATCCAAATCACTGATGAAGATATTAAAAAACACTGGTCCAAGGACTGAACCCTGTAGAACACCACTGCCCACCTCCTTTCAGGTCGAAAACGACCCATCCACCACCACTCTCTGGGTGAAGTCCCTAAGCCAGTTGGCCACCCACCTGACTGTTGTAAGCATCCACTCCACAGCCTGCTAGCTTCCTTATTAGAATTAGGATGTGAAACTTAAAGGAGGCCTTCTTAAAGTCCAGCCTCAGCTCCAGTATCAAGGCAGTGTGTTACCTGGTTGTAATAGGCTATAAGGTATGTCAGGCACGATCTACCTGTGACGAACCCTTGCTGGTTTCCTTTCAGCATCTTTCCCCTGCTGAGCCTTCACAAATGTGCTCTTTAATGATTTTTTCCAGTGTTTTCCCAAGGATAGAGGTAAGACTGACTGGCCTAAAGTTACCCGGTTCATCCCTTTTCCCCTTCTTAAAAATGGGCACCACATTGGCCCTTTTCCAGTCCTCAGGGACCTGGCCAGAGCACCATGAGTGCCAGTGGCTCAGCTATGACACTGGGCAATTCCTTCAGCACCCATGTGTGGAGGTCATCTGGGCCTGCTGACTTGTACCCATTCAGCCCCTCCAAGTGCTCCTTAACTAAGTCAGCACTAACCATTGGTGGTCTAGTGCCTCCCGGACATCTATCTATGTTCAAACTGGGGGAATTGTCTTGGCCAGTACTTAGGAATACTGAAGCGAAGAACTCATTGAAGAACTCTGCCTTTTTCCCCTGTGTTGGCCACCAACTGTTCTGATTTGTCCTGCAGGGGCCCTATGTTACTCTGTGCCTTCCTTTTGCTCACTATGTATCTGTAGAAGGACTTTTTTTTGTCCTTGATTGTTGTAGCCAGCCTAAGCTCCAGTCCTGCCTTGGCCTGCCTAACTGGTTCCCTGCAACAGCGCACCAGGGAGGTATATTCCTCCTTGGTGGCTGCCCCCCTCTTCCCCTGCCTATAAATCTCTTTCTTTGTCCCCAACCTTTTCTGGAGTTCCCTGTTCAGCCAAGGGGGCTTTTTAGTCCCCTTGCCCCCTTTCCTGCATGATGGAATAGTCTCCTTTTGTGCACCAAGGATCACTCCCATGAGATACCGCCAACCCTCCTGGACCCCCATAAACTCGATGCTCTTGAATTCAGCCACCTCACTAACTAGCCTTCTAAGTTTACTAGAATTGGCCCTTCTGAAGTCTAACACTTTAGTTTTGCTGGTTATTTTTCCCACCCTTCGCTGGATTGTGAATTCTACCAAATGATGGTCACTATCTCCCAGGTTACTGTACATACTGTACATTTTAGCATTTGGACACTTTGAAACGACCCAAATTTACCAGAATAAAATTTGAAGTTGATGGGATTTAGAATATATTAGGTGCTTCAGAAAATATTAATGAAAGTCTATACTAAGTTTACTAACCCATCAGTATCCAACATCCATTGCGATCACTTATAAAGGGCACTAATATTGGAAATCATCTTGAGTTCTGTAGAATTGATAATGAGGTTAAAAATAAGTCATGATTAATTCATGATGCAAGTTCTGATAATCAGAGCAGAATATGCAGACAAGACAATGCACAGATCTCTTTATAGTGTTGGGTTTATATTATTTTGAGGGGGGTTTTTGGGCGGGGGAGTGGTTTGTTTAAGTTCTTAAATCTGCTGGTAGCCCACTTTAAATTAATGGAGAGAAAAGTGAAAGCATGACTGCTACGTTGGGACTGACGGAAGTTAAAATAAGAAATTTCACAACCTCTTAAAATTTCACAAAGCTCTTAAATCAGGGGCGGGCAATTATTTCAGGCAGAGGGCTGCTTACCGAGTTTTGGCAAGGTGTCCAGGGCCACATGGGTGGCCCCTTGACTGGTGCTTCACCCCTTGACAGGTGCCTGCCCCTAGTTGCCACCTTGGGACCAGAATTCCTGCCTCCTAACCCCCTACCTTTGCCACCAGAAGTCCCTCCCTTTGCCCCCAGAAGTACTCCTTTCAGCAAGGGGTTTCACCATCTCAGAACCAAAAAAAATACCAAATTATATTCTAAAAATCGAACATCTACAACATTCATTAATTTGATTTCAAAACATTTTTTGTCCTGATTTACATGTGTTTGTGTAGTGCACATAGAGGTTATCGCACAATAGCTTAAAATGAAGTCTTACTCTTGTAAACTGTGGAGGAGTGGGTACAGGTTTGTGGGGGGCTGTGGGTATGTGCAGGGATTGTAGGGGGTGAGTATGGGGTGAGGGAGCATGTGGGGTATGGGTGGGGTGTGGGGTGGGTATGGCCCACAGGCCATATTTTGCCCACCCTTGCTCTAAATAATGTTCCACCCAGTGTGACATCTTCTTGTTCTTATCAGTGATTTTTACTTTGCCATCTTGAGACTTAAGGGGGGTGACTTTAGTGACTTCTTTTCAGGTGTGCCTGGTGAACTCGGAGACAGGTGGGGCAAGTGGCATGGGTGGAGGGAGAAAAAAAATTGCAGGGGGTTGATATGCAGGAAAGTCTGCGGGTGGGGGGGCGGGGGAAGGGCCATGGGGGTAATGGGATGGGTCATCCAGGGACATGGCACAAGTGAGCCACAGGGGGGAAACATGCCCTGGCTCCCACGGTGCACACAGCATTGGGAAGCCGGCCCTCCCCCTCCCCTGGACGAGCCACCTGCAGCCCCAGTCTCAAGTCCCACCTGGCTGGGCAGCAGCCCCAGCCCTGCCCAGCTCCCTACTTACAGGGGCCTCAATCCTCCTCTCCCCCACTTACCTGCTGGAGCTGCTGTCCAGGCTGCCTGGGGCCAGTGCATGTCTGCACATGGCACCCCATGTCTTCTGCCTTCCTCCCAACAGCTCTTTACCCAAGCTGGGGTGTCAGTACAGGCATCCCACTTCCCACCTAAACAAGTAGCTATTTCAATTATTTGAACTGGTCAAGTGTTTCTGCTGTGCATGCACCATTGGGGTGGTAAGGAGATCACCCCAAGGTGCCTTACTGCGCATATGCATAGCAGACTGGACCAGCCTGCATAATCATGACATGATTAATCATGTCATTTTGAAACTGGTGTGGCGGCACCTGAGCACCCTTTCTTGACCAACCACCACTGCTTTTGTTGCTGAGGATAGTTTTGATTTCACTAGAATAATTCGGTCTAGATGAGAAAAAAGTCTAGGAAGTCACAAAAGCAAAGGAAATCCTGCCAGATTAACTGTGTCCTATTCTCTGTAGAAGGAGACCATTTTATGGGAGGTCTTTGAGGGAACAAACTAACCTAAATGTATTGATTGTGTCTAAAGAGGCTAGGCCTGCTTAGAGAATGGTTAAGCTTATATAGGTAAGGTAGACATGTGAAGACTCTTTCTAAAAATCCTTTTGTCCTGAATGCTTTCCCTTCCTGTTATAATAAACAATACTTTGCTTTTAAGAAGGCTTTATGATCACTTTACACCACTTTGTGACAGATTTACAAAGGGAGGAACTACAGATGCCATGGCTAGCTGGATCTGCTGAATAAAAAGACTTGATGCATAGGGTTCTGTCACCCAGGCCCTGCACAATAGTGGGAGAATTGCAAGATTTCACCTTAAGGGAGGTAACGACTTAAGGCTTCCCACCTGAAATTGTACATTCAGAGAAACCAGGGATGGGACAGAGGTAAAACTAGTTCTACACCTGTAACACTATTGTGCTATCACTCAGTTGCCACAGTTTTTCTTTCTTTCTCTTCTATCACTCTTGTATTCATAGGAAAAAAAATCACTTAGAACTATAAGTGCATCAAGAAATACTTGATGCATGTGTGTGATACATCTATTCCCCATTTCTTTGTATGAATTAAGCCCAAGGGGAAACTGAAAGGAAGCATCAGTACTAAATCCTAGGTTTATTAATGGAAAAAATGTTTAAAAACAAAAAGACCCCCAAACCATTTATTTGTCTTTTGGAAAAGTCTGAGACCAGGTCTGTGTAAGGCCAGATTTTCTGGTATCTCTCTCCTGGCAAAATTTCTTAGTATAAATGTACCTTATATCAGCAAATATCAGCTTTTGCTAGTACAATTTATACAGTATTTCAGGAGTGAAATGTGCTATACTAGCACGTGTACTTTCCTGGAGATACAAATGTATCTATACAGGAAGTTGCATTATTATAGAAATGCCACAACAGGTATAACACTAATAGACATTACTATACCAGCAAATGTGTCTCACTTAAACCTAACCTTAGACCAGGGGCATAAAACTCATTTATACCCCTGGTCTAAGGCTATGCTTAGGTGAGACACATTTCATAGTTTCAAAGTTGGTAGGGTCGGAAGGGACCTGAGGAGATCATCTAATCTGACGCCTTGCCGTGGCAGGAAAGAGTACTGGGGTCAAACGACCCCGGCCAGATGTTCATCCAGCCTCCTTTTAAAGACCCCCAGCGTAGGAGCCAGCACCACTTCTTTTGGAAGTTGGGTCCAGGTCCTAGCCACCCTGACAGTGAAATAGCGCTTCCTAATGTCTAGCCTGAAACTACCCTCCGCTAGCTTGTGTCCGTTGTTTCTTGTAACTCCTGGGATTGCTCGGGGGAACAGGGACTCTCCCAATGCCTGCTGTTCCCCCTTGACTAGTTTGTAGGCTGCCACTAGATCCCCTCTCAGCCTTCTCTTTTGGAGGCTGAACAGGTATAGCAATGTACCCCCACTGGCATATTACCCTCTGGGACCAGTGAGGGGGCTCTTTGTGGGCATGGCAAGTGGTTGCATCTGTGGTGAGACCAGCCAGCCCCCAGCCACTGCAGCAGGTCAAGTGGCAGCTGCGGGGCTAGTGATGGTGGCGATGGGTCCAGCAATGGAGCTGGCATGCCAAGTAGCGATGAGATGAGGCATCCCTATGAAATGAAAAAATGTTGCCTTTTCCACCATGGTAACAGTGTTAAAGCAGCTGCATTATTCTCATTTGAGTCTGTTTAATCCCATTAAAGAAATCAGTCCATTTTTATTTTGCCCCTGTTCCTTTCACCAACAGTTTTGAAGTGATTTAGGCACCCAACTCATTGAAAAGTCAGTGTCTGACTCTAGGTTGTGCCTTGAAATTTTCCCCTTTCATTTGTTTGTCTTGTCAAGCTCTCCTGATTTAGTGAAGCACTTAAGCAGCACATCACTGCAAGCACACATGCAGTGCCATGGTATACAGGCAGTCCTCAGACTTACAATGCAATTGGTTCCTGAAAACCGTGTCTTAAATCAAAACGTTGTAAGTTGGAAACAATTTTCTCATAGGAACAATGTTATCAATGGGGGATTGGTTCCTTTATGATGCTGAACACAGCTGCCCCCAGCTGGTAAGTCTGGGAGGGGGTGCGGCACTGCTGGTCCGGGAGGGCATGGGGAAGGGGTAGGCAATTGGATCTTTACAGGGCAGGCAGGGCTGGGGCTGTGCTCTGGGTGGGCATTGCAGGAAGCAGGGGCTATGCCCTCCTGCCACTTGCCCAGCCAGGCCACCCAAAGTGCAGCCCTGACCCTGCCCTCCCTGTGCAGATCCAGTTGCACACGCCCCCCCACCCCAGGCTGGGTCAGGGGGCGTGGGACTGAGCTGCTGTGCTGCCTCTGGCTGAGCAGTGTGCAAAGACAGGAGCTGCCTTGGCCTCCTCATGCATCCATCCCATGCCCCCCTGCCCCTCTCTGCCCTGGCTGGGCGAGAGGTGGCAGGGCATGGGGGAGGGGGTATGTGCCCCCAGATCAGGGCAAGGCAGGCAAAAAAAGTGGGGGCTGCAGCCACCCCAAAATTTGCCCACAGCTCCCACTGCCCACCCAGAGTGCAGCCCGGTGCAGCCCTGACCCTGCCCACCTTGCGCAGATCCGGGGGCACATGCCCCCCCATGCCCTGCCACCACTCACCCAGCTGGGGTGGAGCAGAGCAGAATGGGGAGGCACAGGACAGAGATGTGGGGAGGTTGGGGTGGCTTCTGCAACTGTGTGCCGCTTGTCCTGAGGCAGCGCAGTGGTTCCATTCATGCCCCCCTGCCCCAGCCTGGCCTGGCTCTGCTGGGCAAGCGGTGGGAGCAGCACGGAACAGTGGGAGCCACTTCAGTCTCTGGTCTCCCCATGCCTCCAGTCTCCCTGTGCCTGTGTCCTGTGTCCCCCCATGCCCCATCCCAGCTGGGCATGTGGTGGCAGGGCATGGGGGAGTACATGTCCTCAGATCATCTGAAGACAATGCAGCATTTCCGTCCCATGCTCCCCTGCCCTGGCCTTGCCCAGTCCGGCTGGGTAAGCAGTGGGAGGGCATAGCCCCTGCTCCCAGTGCTGCTTGCCCAGAGCACAGCCCTGGCTCCCGCCCACTTCGCACAGATCCAGTTGCACACGCCCCCCCCCCCCCCCATGCCCTCCTGGACCAGCGGCACGCTGTGGCAGGAGCCGCCCCATTCCCTTTCCCAGGTGGGAAGCGCTTGCCCCAGCCCCTGTCCCAGCCCCAATCCCTCTCTCATTACTGGGGCATTGATCTGCCCCCCTACGCCCCTTCCCTCCCCCCACCACAACAGACTTATCAGCTGGAGGCAGCTGTGTCCAGAGTTGTAAAGTTGAAGCCACCATTGGAACCTCGAAACAAGGTGTAAATTTATAAAGGTCATAAGTTCCGTTCATCATAAGTCAAAAAGTTGTAATTCAAGGACTGCCTGTACAGCAAAGGCACTCTCATGCTTCAAATGGGGCATGATGATGACATAAGGTCATGGGTGGCCAAGAAATAATACAAGTCTAGAAATGAGGGAACTCCAAGTGATTTCAATAATGGGGGAAATATGCTACCATAAAATAATGCAAGCCTTGATAAATAGTAAGGTGATTACTAACAAGAAATGTTACTAACAAGAAAAAGAGTGTTGGTTATAGCCTTGTTGGTCTAAGGACATAGGCAGAAAAGATTCTTTGGGTAAATGTGTTATCTTTAATTAGACCAACTAAATTGTTTGAATAATTGTTCTTTGCAAGCTTTTGGGCGCAAACACCCTTCTTCAGGCCTGAAGAACTTTGATTAACAAACAAACAAACAAAAAAGATTTTACTAGCAAGATGTTTAAAACAACCCTTAAAATTGATATAGCATGTATTGCATATTACAAAGAGATGACATGTATGACTCTGGCACCTTCAATAAATTGTTTTGCCAGAACAGCCATGACTCAAGGGACTGAAATCTCTATTACAGTGCATTGGCTCTGCAACATACATTCATCAGAACATACTTGGCCTTAATCCTGCAATTTAGTTCAGCCCAAACAGTTCTTCACACCTATGTAGAATGTTGTTGACTTCACAATACTTCACAAGTGTTCTTTGTTAGTGGAGTGTGTGTTTGTGCATCTGTGTATAACATGTCTATGTAGTTATTATAGTGTTAGAACCATAAATATTCAAGACTAGATCATCATCTGGTTGATCAATTTTAGCTTCATTGATATTACTGATGTCTTTCAGTTGACAGTGACAGATTCTAGCCAGCTATTTATTTTGGAGTGGAAGTCTTGCTTCCTTTAGAAGCTGTTACACGGCAGATCAGTGCTCAAAGTGAACAATATAATTTGAGAGGACTGGCTTCCAGTCCACTGCTTTCTCTGCTGACCATACTCCCCCCCCCCTTTGACAAAGACATGGATTAATATTTTTTTAAATATTAAATTAACTATACAAAATTGCACGTTTACCTTAGCCAAATATTTTAATTCGGTGGCCAAAAACTGTTCCCCCATATGTTTGTTTGTTTTTTAATTCCCTTTCTCTTGTCCTGCATAGATACCAAATTGTACAGTGGAACGTTGATCAGCGGTTCCTGTTTGTGAGTGGAACTGCCAGAACAGTAGAATGGGCATGAGCAGAGGAGACTGTGCAGTTTCAGAACTAGCAAGGGGTTGTAAAAGTAATAAAAAAACAATAACAGCAGCAACATGGCTTGCTGTCCCAACCCAGATGTCACATTTCTAAAAATTTTTGAGGGTATTTCCAGCATTACCACTTTTAAGACGCTGAATAACCTGAAAGGAGCATAGAGAAAACTCCTGCTATTTTAGACGTCTACGACGTCTAGACGTACAGGAGATAATCTTCATTACCGACAACTGTGAAGTTTTGTCTGGGACTTCTAACTGAATATTTCTAAGACAATTTCTACAAAAAGTAAAATTGCCATTTCTTTCATTTAGAAGCATGAAGTATATACAAACTAGCCTTCAGTTCAGGAAAATAGTCCCTAGAACAAATATAAATCTATCATAATTAGTCATCAGAAAATTTGAATAAATATAAAATTACCACAGAGTAGGAGGCAGGCATGTGCAGCATTCAAAACACACAGAGTGTAAAATGATGTTATTGTTGCCTTTAGAAATAGTTCAAAGTAGCCTGCATTACTGAGGAAAGGGCTGATAAGCAGAATGTCAAAAGCTTGTTTCATGAGTGATTCCAAGCAAGCATAGTATTCTAACCAGCTGATTCTATAGCTATTTTTGGTATTCTCCATATCATGATTACATATACCAGGAATGACTGGAGCCTGCAAATATGGTAAACCAGCCAGGAATCCTGGGACATGCTCCATTGCTAGTTTAATAGTCCTGCAACACTGACAATCGGTTGTCCTTTTCACTTCAAATAGTTAAGGGAAGTCTAACAAGTAACTGCTTAGTTCTCTAGAAAAAAAACAGAGTATACTTCCTGCAGGCAGCTATTTTTAGCAGTGATGCAGTGTCCAAAGTGTTAACTAATTGAGTCATCAGGTTTCATATTTGGCCAGAGAAAATGGCAGTGGAAGAGGGAGAATGCTTCTCAGAACAAGTAAGCATTTCTAGATTCTGAAATGGGAGTAAAAGCTGAATGTCAAATTTATATAATGGGTATTTAAAAAATCTTTAATTATATAAAAGAAAAAATATCACATATGATAAAATATATTTAAATTAATTTGCTGTATTTTCTAGTTTGACATTTGTTATTGTAGATGGAAGTGGCATTCAGATTATATCAGGGAATGTATATTGTCCCTGTGTTGTAAGAATATCCATATTTGCTCCGAGTATTTCAGAGAGGATGCGTAGTAAAATTCCAAAAGGATTTTGTTATCTATTTTTTTTTAGTTTATGCATCAAAAAACTATGCCTTTAATTGAATTGCATTTTGATAGATACAGCTTCATCCTGAAAACCTATACCTACATGTATAACTCCTACTTACTTGAGTAATCCCACTGACCTTAATGGCAGTGCTTAGATGAGTAAAGATTACTCATGTGAGGAAGTGGTTGCAGGATCAAATCTGTAATGTAAATTACTATGTTCAGTTCTTAGCTATTTGGTTGGGTTATTACGATCGTTTAAAAATATTTAAATCTTTAAATTTAAACATAGTTAATAGCAGTTTGGCTTCCTTTACTCCCCTTTCCCACCTTTTGGTATTCCTAGAAGAATAAAAATTAGTCTCTCTTGAAGGTCAGCAATATTTTCCAGGAGTCACTTCCTTTATTTCTAGGAATTTACTGATAAAATAACCTAGAAATTACAAACATATTAACAAAATTTCGTACATGGAAAAAAATATATTGAGCTCTTAAATTTGTATCTTTGCTCTTTTTCTATATCAGAGCCACATAGCATATGAAAATTCATCTTCATAGAGATTATGACCTTTTTCTAGTTTTCTGCTTATTCTTCTTATTGCTAAAATTGATCCCAACTTCCAAATGAAACTATAAAACAGAATACATATATTTGAATGTTGTGTTGTTAAAGTAGTTATAGGAAAAAACTTCTCTAGAAAGAGTTAATATTGAGATAGTACTTGATATTGTTTATAGTCACACTTTCTTTCGTTAGTAAAATGGTAGTACAATATGTAACATTCATTACCATACTTGGAAATGCCCCACATTTAAATGGACTTTAGTTCTGAAGGAAAGTTAAGGATACCCAAGATGTCCATCAAATATGGCAACAAGTCAAGAAATGATTAAATTCTTAACTTCTTATTCATTTAGTTCGGTTATAATTTAAAAAATCTTATACATCTTTTAAGTGCCTTTTGTGAAGGAAATTTACTCTTATAAGCAAATTTAGAATTTAAAAAGATTTTTTAAAACTGTTTCTAATGGTCCCTCTACCTGCAGACACTTCTGCTTATAACTTCTAGTGTTAAGGAAAACTCTAATTTATGTAAATTTTAAAATGGGTATATAATGTTTACTAAATTATATTATTTTGCTCTTGTTACAGCAATAATATTTATATTTTAAAATTCCAGTACTGAGTATTAGAAGTATACTTCATGCTAATTACTCATAAAGATATTAAAAATGTTTGCTATTACATTCCAACAATCCTACAAGCATATATCTGAAATGCAACATGCAGTCACCAAAATATGACTGACTTTCAAAGTAGGAAAAACTTATACAGTATTATCATGAATGCTGATAGTTACAACGAGAACATAAGTTAGACCATTTTGATAGTAAAATGAATCATTACAACACTATGGCTGCGAATGGGTGTTCATTTCTAGCAGTGGAAAATTAACATTTCTAGAAGTGGTTCTGGGAGATAGAGCAGTACAGCCTGCAACTGCCTGCCCCAGGCTTGGGGATGGCCTCTCTGAGCCCAGTTTCAAGTCCCCAAACCCTGCCCCTGCTGCCCAGCTGGGAGCCAGGCCCACAATTTAAAGCCTGAAGCCTGGGAACTGAGGTGAGGATAGGCCACACAGTGGCCTGTATCTGATCTCCAGTCCCCAGCTCCTGAGGCTTTCCAGTCATCACCCCTGCTGCTCAGCTGGGTGGCAGGGTGGGAAGGGGAAGCCAGAGGGAGCTGCCTGGCTGGCCTCCTTTGCCTCTTCACCAAAATGGGGACTGCCCAGTTTGGGGAAGAGACAAAGAGCAGTGGCTGGTGTTCCCTTTTCCTCCCTTCCCAGACCACTCTGTGAGGTGGGGAGAACAGTGGACAAAGCCCAGCACATTCCCCAAGCTGGTAAGCCCCTGATTTGGGGAAGAGCTGCACACCATACAAGCATTCACTCTTGTGATATATAATCTGTCTCAAGGGAGAACTTCCAAATTGAGAACTGAAAGATGTTCTCCTGGAAGGGACATATTTCCACCAGGAGAAACAATGGCTGTCATGATAGAAATGTAGCACCTGTATATGGCCTGTATTTGAGCTTGGATATTGTTACATTTTATGCAAAGCCTGTAGGTGAATAGGCTGGAGTTTAAAATCAGTTTTTCTTCAGGCAGTGGCTTTAGAAGTGTGCTGGCCCATTTCATCCTGTGCTTGATCATTGTCAGAGTAAAATGATATTTTTGTTGATATTCAGTGTGTTGTTAGAAGCTTACTAGAAACTAGTTTATCTGTTGGTACATGCTGTAATGGTTTAAATAGAAGATACAATAATTAACTGAGATGGACTGAACTATGCAGAGAAGCTCACAAGAAAGAATATAGACAGTATTTTCTTTTGAATTGTTTTTTGACATGTTATTCATGATAGCTTCTGATTCTCAGTTTCAGTGGGAGTTTAGGATGTACAAGTAGTCTATAATACATATTGTACAGTCAAATCGCTATTAAAAATGATGGCTCTTTTATGGTTAATTAATTACTGTACACACATCATCAAATGCCAAGGGGCACTGCCAAAATATGACTGATAAATTATTGGCTATTTACAGCTCTTTTTTGGAAAGTTGGAATAACCTGATCCTCAGTTAGATACTTAAGTAATAACAAAATAGTGAACTGAAAAGTTAGACTATTAAAGGTAACAAAGACGCACTGCTTATTTAAATTGAAAAATTTTAATTGATCTGTTGAAGTAATTTTTATTCTCTTAAAATGTTTGATTTATTTCATTCTTATACTGAGAAATATAGTAATTTTTTGGTTAAGAAAGAAACAAATTCAATGTATATTGAATTCTTAGGTATTTTTGGTTAAAATGGAGCAGAGTTTGCAAACACTTATCAATTTACTCAAGGAAAAAAAGATACCGTGATAAAGATTTTTAGAGTGCCTTCTGAACAGTTCTGTTAGGAATCTTTGGCAAGCCCAGCATAAATTGTTTAGATCTTCTGATGGTTCTAAAAGTCAGAAAAATTTTAGTCTAGCTCTAAACTGTATGGTGACTGTGTGAAAGTGGCAGCTTCTTACTTGGCACATCCAATTGTTGGGCATTTTTCAGAGTCATACTTCCTCATTTTAATGATAAAAAATAGTTTTGATTTGTTTTCATTCCTGTTCTTCCCACAGAGCCAGCTTAGCTAAATGATTATTCTTATGGTTATTAATTATTTATATTGTGGTTGCACCCAGAAGACCTAATCTTGGACTCTATTGTACAAGGCATTGTACAAGGACAGAACATAAAGGGTGGTCTTTATCACAAAAAACTTCATGTGTAAGAAAGAGAGATTCAGCACTCCTTAATCTTCCTTTTGCATGAGCAACTGAATTTTTTATTAAGGTCCAATAATTTACATTATTGCAAAGCTCATGAAGCCTCAGATTACACAGATAACTCGGGGCTTAATTTGACCTTTCATGATTGATGACACTGCCTGATAGAGGACGAACAATTTGCTTTTCAGATCCCAAGTTAATTTTGCAAGTGTAGGATATAGAACAATGCACTTTATAATTAACTGATTTACATTTGGTAGGCATCGTGCTGAATACATTTTATGTAGCGACTGAGAGACAATAAGCATTCAATGAATTAGGAGAGTTTGTAAATGAAAAAGGGGATTTTCTTTTCTTTTTTGAAGCATATCTAACATGTTCTCAAGCATCATTTCTCAAAAAAGGCTTTCATTAAAATTCTGAACTAGCCTTATCCAATTTGTCCACAGAGGGAGATGATTCTTTTGGGAATTTGAAAAGCATTTGTATGGTTAATTTTTAAAATGATTCAGTACATTTAATATGCTTTTAATTCTCCATAGAGGAATCCTACAGTACTGCCTAAGTATTTTTGGAGGAATTTATTAGGGCTGTTTGCCCCCGGTGTTCCTGAGGCTCGCGGGGGTTCCTTGCTACCACAGAAAGAGTAATGAAAGTAACATGTATCATACATAGTTTGCTCTGGTTCATCTGCCTAGACTTGCATTCATAGTGTAGTGCAGATTTGGAGACTCGGGGTCTGATGCAATAAGGGCGTACAACATCAGAAATTGATGGGAAAACAAGATGTGTAGACTTTTGAGTTTGGAAAATCTGGCCAAAGTGAGCTGACAGTATCATAGTGCTTAGGGTTGGAAGGGACCTAAACAGATCATCAGGTCTGACTCCCAAGATCATCAGGTCCAACCCCCAAGATCATCAGGTCTGACCCCCTGAAGTAGTGCAACTCCAGCCACCATCACCCCCCCCCAAGTGGAAGAAACTGGCCAAACCATCATATCTCATGGGTGATGTTCACCAAGAAGACTCACGTAAAGTATTCTAGACTTTGCATCAGTCCTAGCATGGGAGAGGTGGCCACAGTGCTGTAGCTTTGCCCATGTCTCAGAGCGCACCTGCCTATTTCTATGCTGCTGTCCCTGGAAACTCAAGAAGAATGCTGGGAAGATTTCCTTCCTGCCATGCAGGTTCTGAAACCAGAATTACTCTAGGAATTCTCTGACTCTGTATGAGATATTACAGATTCAGGCTTCCGTAAGCCAACTAATGGTCTTCCATTCTGCAGAGCACATATATTACACAGCAAAAGTGGCATCAGGACTGGTAATTCTGTGACTATTAGAAGGTTAGCCAAAGAGAACCACTGTGGTGCCTATAGACCAATGTGAAGAAAAG